GCCCCTTGCCGCCATTCTTGCCTCGGCAACAATGGCATGTTCCTGCTCCCGCAGTCTCTTGGGATTGTTTAGGAGGCTGCAGGGGAAGAGACACACAGGGGCCAGTGGGCAGACCCAATGTGCATTATTGGGGAGTCTGAACCGAGAAAAAGCAGCTAGCTCCCTATGACTGAGAACGACCAATATGGCCAATAAGGTGGCAGCAGATTGTAGCAGCACGACGATGGATTCACTGGGCAGGTGAATATGTGAATTTAGGACAGCCCTACCTAACGGGTAAGAGAGCTTAAAAAAATAAGAGGGGGCTGAAGTTCCTCTTTATCTAGTTACACTGAAATTCTGTTGTTGACATACAATTTCTGCCTGCGAAGCAGTAAAGCTTATCACCATAGACATTACAATCTAACCAGCCCACAGCAACTGATAGAATCATTCTGTAAAAATATTATGTCTGTAACCATAGAGCTCAGCTGACTTCTTCTTTCCTGTAGTGCAACTGTTACGCTTCATGTTTTTATGTGAGTTTAATAGCCCAGTTTGTAAAATGATTTATCTGTTTGTTCATTATTGTGTTTTTTGTTTGCCTTTCAGAAGAATAGTGTTCTGAGTTCTTACATCTCCTACTACTGGGCAGGGTTGCTTTTCACTTTGTGGCTCAACTGGTTTTTTGAAACAGACAAGTTTGCCTTTTGAAACAGTCAGATTTCTCTTTTCTGCATTGGCTTCATTGTCCACTCCTAAAACTTTGCTTCCATTTAAAGTAGCCATCACTGCAAAGCTTGCTCCTGTGATGGACTACACTCTCAATACAAATTTGTAAACTAACCATGAGATTGTAGTCCATCACAGGAGTGAGCTTGGGAGTGGTGGCTACTTTACAACACACAGAGACCATGAGGCATGAATTCAGAGATGATTTGAGAATCTACAGCCGAGTGATACACAAATAAGATACATTCTTGTTAATAGTTAGGGTACTTCAAGATTTAACGCCTGAGTTTAGTGTAACTTTAAGATTCCTCTTGGGACTATTAACAAAAGGTAAATTTGCAGTTGTGCGATGTTGCCCTAGTTGGCTTAATGGCCAGTCGCAAAACAGTAAAGGCTAGAGGTGCACCGAAATGAAAATTTCAAAACCGAAATAAAAAGTCAGGCCGAAACTGAAAATATTTTTTATTCTAACTTTTTTTTTTCTTATATTCTTTTTTATAAACTTTAATTTTTTTTTTTTTTTTTTACTTTTTAGCAGCTTTGGGGAAATATTAGGGGTCTAAATAGACCCCCGATATTTCCCTTTTTAAAATCGAAAAGAGGTTGAGAACAGAGTCCTCAATCTCTTTTTCTGCAGCCCCAGTTATAAATGAACAGGAAGTGTTCCTGTTCATTCATAACATGAGAACACAGTATGTTTACTATAACCACTCATGAATGAACAGGAGGTGATGTAGATCACTTCCCATTCATTCATAATTGAGGATATAGTAAACATTCCATGTCATCAATTATTTACGAACTCTCAGCGATCACTGACTGTTTGTACCTGCCTCTCCTTCCTGACAGGCTGTCACAGTAGGCTGAGAGAGCGGAGCTCAGCCTGCTGTGACAGCGCTGGCTGTCTCCGCCCACACTGCTCTCCTCTGATCTGTGACAGGAGGCTGAGCAGTGTTGGAGGAGACGCCGACCGCTTACAGTGCTCACCTCCCGCAGAGCTCGGCCGCTTGTGACAGTTTCTCTTCTCCTCGCTGGGACACAGAGCAGCGCCCAGTGGGGAGGAGAGAGAGAACGGATGCATCGATGTATCGGCCAGAAAATTGCACTTTTGGCATTATGCCAAAGTGCTATTTCCGTCCGCTGTTGCAGTGCATCCCTAGTAAAGGCTAGATTGACATCAGAGTTGCATACAGTAACATTAATTGACCACGTTTTGCCTTAAGCTGCCCATACACTGATTTTTTTTTTTGGGCTGAACGAAAAATAGACCAGATTTCTCCATGTGTGTCAATCGAGGAATCCCACTGTTTACGTTGTATTCTGACAGGAGCCGACGGCCTCTGTCAGAATACCCGACCAGAGCGGGCAGCTCATTGGCTGCTAGCTCTGATCGATGGAAGATTTTTCAACCGGCTCCTTCGATCAGCTGATCAAGGAATGCTGATCGAAAAGGGTGCTGACAGTGGCAAAAACTGCTAATATTGGCTGGTTCCTCAAAAACCGCCCGAAAATCGAACAGTGTATGGGCACGTTTTTAGGGGGATTTAATTCAGTTGGTTTAAATCGGCAGCTCTGCACACCTAATTGTGGCATAGGGTGCACTGCAGTGGTTGGTGTCAGTGGGCCCCATTGAAAGCCAGGTGTTTTTTCTTTGTATGTGCATTTTGCTATGTTTGAAAAGTGTGTGTGGGGGGAGCACAATTTCTCTGCTGTAAAAAAGCCTCAAGAAGAGCATAAGTGTTAATTGTTCAGTGTAAATGGAAGATAAGCGGCACCAAGCGACTTGTTGGAAGATCTCCTGGACTATAAAAGGGCAACTTCATGTTGCTGGGCAAGTAGCAGATCCCAAATTTGCAATTCTCAGTTTTACCTGCTCTTCATTGCAAAGGAGAGCTTTTACCTATTTATAGCTGGGTTTTGACACTAAAGGTGGCCATACACCTTACCATTGCACAACTTTTTTTGTCCAGACATCTCACCCTCGTTTTAATCTTCGTTCAACTAGCCCATCAGTCACTAACTGACTGATTCGATTCAAAGAACAGATTTTCGTTTGAGCATGTGCAGTTTTCATCTTCAGGTTTTTGTTTGTACAACAACGCCACTAGACCAAACTTTTCTAGCCCGCTTGAAAGACGAAAATCTGCCAGTTGTGCACTTCCCATCAACTGGCAGATTTTCGGACGAAAACATGATCGCAGACAAAAATCTCCAGATAATTGTAAGGTGTACGGGCACTTTTATTGTGGACCTTGTCTCTTCAGAAAAGGTAGCCAAGGCCCATGAAAAACACTAGTAGACTTGGATCTTTTTGTATGCTTTCATCTCACTTTGGCCAGCTGTATGTACTGTATCTTTTGCATTAAGCCTTGCAGTGGGGTTACCCTCTCACTAGAAGGGTTAAGTGCTCATTTGTCTCTAGGTGCTAAAATAAAGATATACTCACCCAAACTTCCTCGCCGGCGCTGTCATGGCGCTGCCTCCATCCTGCCCCCCCCAGCAGAATGGAATGTTTCTCGGCATCCTAACGCCTATGCAAAGTGTTTAGACTTAAAGGAGAATTTTGAGGCGAGTGATTTTTCACTCGGCCTCATAATCTGAGCCCACCTGTGACAAAAACTGTCACAGGTCGGCTCAGTAGATCGGGAAGTGAGTGAACATAACGGTGCTCGCTCACTTCTCGATCTGAGGTCACTCACGGCTCCCTGCAGGGATCCTCCCCTGTCCGATCCTCCAGCGCTGACTGGCGGAACAGATGGGGGAGGGGGCGGGTACAGCTGGCTCTGCCTCTAGATAGGCAGAGCCAGCTGTCACTTATGCAGCTGGGTGGATCCAGACAGAATTGTCGGGATCCGTTCCGGCTGTGGCGTCTCAGTATACCACGAGCTGTAGCTCGCGGTATACTGAGCTTTGGGTGACGGGAGGACGCTAGTTTGTGTCCTCCTGTTACCTTAGGAGAACTATGGGGAAAAGCCCTAACCCCATAGTTCTCCTTTTAATGATTTAATGGATTTTAAATCGCTGCAGAGGAGGGGGAGAGATAATCCAGAAGTCGGCTTTGGGCGAGTAATTCTTCTTCCTCCTATTATTTATTTGTATTATTATTGATTATATGATATACATTTGTATTTATTTTTTAACCTAGACACAAACGAGCAGTTAACCCTTGCAGTGTGGGGGTAGCTCACCTGCAAGGGTTAATAATAATAACAATAATAATAATTAAAAAATCCTCGTTCTGCTTTACCTGTTTGTTTTTGTTTTGTTTGTTTGTTTTCCAAAAAAAAAACCGTTATACTCATGGGAAGCTCTTCTTCTTAGACCCATCTTTCCAATGAGTTTCCCTTCCACTGCAGGGATCTAATCATAGAAATGTATGTCAAGATATAGCCTGCATCTGTATCTTGTTTGCTAAGCGAGTGTTTAGCAAGCAGAATATTGTAATGGTGCATGTTTTTTTATTTGTCATTCACTATGGAAAGCGTAGCTGTATGGAGTGCTGTCGAAATCTGGGCCATCTGTAGGAATTGACAATGAGCTGAGCTAACCTACTGTTTACAGCAAAGGACATATAAAAAACCATGCATTATAAAGGCTTATGCAGTTTTACTTTCTGCCTTCTCCCTGATCCAAGTCCATCAGTTTACTGATCCTTGTTCTTGTCTGACTGTCAGTGGCAGTTTGCGATACCATACCAAGTAGATGTATTCAGGCATAGTTTTAGATGCAGTGCAATTGTAAATGCCATTTTCCTTTGTGGAATCTGTCACTGGAATGAGAACTGTAATCATGTGGTCAGTATTAAAATGCCAGACTGTCAACCATACATTGAAAGCAGGCACCTTGATCTGCATTGTATACTTTTATCACTTTGCACATTGTCTTGGGATACCTTTAAACCCAAGTGCTGACTAGTTCATGAGCTCAAGAGTTGTCTCCTTGCTGTTGGCCCTTTTTATAATGAGTAGCCTCACAAGACAATAATGGCTATGGAAGGGTAAGGCCAGAAGCTAGTCTAGATTGTCCTGGTAGGGCACCTCGGGATTCCCTTAAAAGTGCTCCTATTGTGCAAAATTTAACTCCCTCATTTGGTCATAATGTAATGGGAGGCCTCGGTGAGCCATAACAGGTCAAGATTTGCTTTGAAGTATCCTAGTTTTTGTGCTCCCGGGCTGTGCAGATGAAAAATGGAGGTAAACTTTCTGAATTCTGGAGGACCATTGTCTGCTTTAATATTGGGTAACTTTAATGTTGCTACAACTTACTGTATATTTTATATTTTCTTTTAGGTATATTGCAACATCCTGATGGGACTGTCCTAAAGCAACTGCAGCCTCCACCACGTGGACCAAGAGAACTGGACTTCTACAATATGGTAATTTCATACCTTGCCTAAATGGCTTTATGAGGGTGCAATTAAAGCTAGGTTACACAACTTTGAACTACCTTTTTAAGTAATTTGGTTTGTAGTGCTCTATTGATGAAAACTGTAGTTTACAGGCTGATTAACTTCTAATTTTTACATTTTTTGCTTTTAAAAATCCTTCTTGCTTCCTTCCTTTTTTCCTTCTCTTCTTCTTTTTTTTTTTTTTTCTTTAAGCTAGGTTCCCTTACAGTCTACAAGCCATGTGACCACAAGCATTTTCTTTTTATATTGGCTTCAAGTGCAAAATAGAAAAATAGATGATTATATGTATTATGCAGTTTAACACGATCATTAACAGATGTTTTTAGTGACAAAAAAATATAGCCTAACTTCAGTTAACACTAGGCTTTTAAAGCAAAAGTTTTTTTTTTTTTTTTTCAATTTTCCACCTTTTTTTTTTTTTTTTTTTTTTTTTATACCATATAAAGAAAAGTTTACCATTGTCAGAACTCCTTTTGAAAGTTTTAAACAGTTTGTCCCAACACCTGTAATTTTTTACTGGACAGCTTGGCCTATTAAAGAAAGTGGGGATAATGATCTACAGACAGGATCAGTGGGTAATAAAAACTGTTGCAGGGGACCAAAAAAAAAAAGGGGGTAACTAAACCCTACACGTGTCATCTGCAAATTCCTTTGCCAGATCTGACATCTCCCCAGCTTCTTCCGTGTTTGGTCTTAAGCCATCTTGATTGACCGAGCTGGGATGAAGTAACTCCCACGAATGTGCTTGGGAGTTAATCCCCCCCCCCAGCATGAAGGAGTGCCGAGAATGTACACTGAGCTGCGTATAAATCGGGGGGTGGTGTATGCAGCATGTGCAATGCCATAAAATTCAAGCATAGGTTGCAAGCCTGCCTTGTCTCTGAAAAGAACAATGCTAGTTATGCACGAAAATCCGTTTTGGCAGGTTCATCCTTACCCTGAGATGAGGGATGTCTGCGGTGGTTGTGGAGTCCCCATAGACTTGGTCATGTACCCTTAGTACAAAATTAAGGTTTTTGTGTACCCTTAGTACACAACAGAGAATATCCACATGAATACTTTTATGTGCATAATGTGTTTATGCTAACCAGACTGTAGGATTAATGGCTTTGTGCCCAACTTGGAGGTCAATTTTGTTCCTCTGCTCTTCAGAGCTTTTATCAGGTCCTGTGATTTTTCATTTTGTCTTTGAACTGTGACAGCTGGCAAGATGTGGTTAAACTTGAACCAGTAAAATAACTTTTTCTCCATTGAAAGCTCATTAAGCACAAAGTTGACTTCAGAGCTACTGTGTGTCTGATTTTTGATGTTCCCAGGAAAAAAGTATCATCAGTCCTTTTAACATTTCACAGATGCTGACTGTAAAAAGCATCACAGCCAGAAATGATAAACTAACCAATGACATTTCCTCCCCCCCCCATCCCCTTGTTTTCTGCAGGTTTTCTCAAGTGACTGCACAGACCCTAAGCTACGTGATCTAAGGACTTTTTTGCCAAAATATTTTGGCACATGGTCTCCTCCAGGATCTGCAGATGGTATGTGGATGTATTTCTAGTATTGTGTGTGTTTTTAATAATTTCATCTGTACCCAGAAACTGCTGTTTCTAGAATGCAGAAGCCTGCACCTTTTTATCATTGACTCTGGGAATGTGTACTTTTGTATTTTTAATGGCAAGGATGGATCCCATACATAATGCAACTAAATCTGCGTAACTTGAGTTGTAAGGCTGTGAAGACAGGCAAAAGTTCTGTTTTGGTATTTTGGCTGTGCGCCATTATCTGTTTTTTTTGATGTATTAAGACTACTAAATGACAATACACAGAAAGCTGGAGGGTAAATAAGGCTAAATCATTTGACGGCTTTCCCAAGTTTTCTGGGTCACAGATGTTTTTCATGTCAGGTGGCATGGTAGATGAGATAGCATCTTGTGCAATCATAGTTTTTTGCTAAGAGTCACACATTTGGTTAAATTTTGGGTGCATGGATCAGGTGTCTGGTTTTTAGAGGCAAGTATGTCTGTTTAAACCAGAAATATATTTAACTATATGAACTATATTTTGATTTTACAAGTAAATGTCAATCATTAAAAACCTTTGCAGATCTTTATTTAAAACTGGAAGATGTAACTAGAAAGTTTAATAAACCATGCATCATGGATGTGAAGATTGGCCAAAAGAGCTATGACCCATATGCATCGGCAGAGAAGGTACAGCAGCAAATTAGCAAGTATCCTTTGATGGAAGAGATTGGTTTCCTGGTTCTAGGCATGAGGGTAAGTGAAATCTTCTATGGACAATTGAGTATGTTGCTGTGTTTTTTTGTTCTCTACCTTCTCTAAAGCAAAACCTCTGCTATTTTTTTAGTTTTGGTCAAGCAGGAATGGGTTAGAATTACAGCAGGATATTATTGCTGTTTTAGACCAGTGCTTCTTAAAGTGTGGGTCGTGACCCCATATGGGGTCCCACAAGTGAACAGGGGGTCGCGATCTGAGTCCCCAGCCAGGACCACCATCAGGGGGGTTGTGTGAGGGGCCCAGGCGGCCGGGGAGGCCTGGGCTCCAAGCAAGATTTTTTTTTTTTTTTTGTTTTTTTTCCGTTTAAGGTGCAGTGTAGTGAAGTTTTTAAGGTCGCATACCCCCCACCTCTGTGCACTTGGTACCTTCCTGAGCACGTGCATGCAGGAAGGTTTTTTTTTTTTACATTGACGGAGCTTCCTTTAACCCAGCAGAAGTGGAGCACAGCTGCTGGAGGTAAAGATAAGGAGGGAGAGGGGGCTTAGTAGTAGGTGGTAATAACACACTGACCGTCCGGCGGGGGGGGAAGAGGAGGAGAGAGACACCGACTGACGCTAGGGGAGGGGGGGGCACCGACGTTGAGGGAAAGAGGGGGAGAGACACCGATGCTGGGGTCCCCTAAAAATTTCCTCGGCCAAAAAGGGGTCACGAGTGGAGAAAGTTTAAGAAGGCCTGTTTTAGGCCATGCACTTCTCAGTATAGCCAGCCATCTGGACTGATGGAAAAAAAATAAATACTGTGGTTTCAGAGGTTGACTAACTTTAACTGCTTCAGCACTTCACAAATCTTCACAACTACTTCTAGTAAAGGAAAATTGGTGGGACGTAGGGATTTTTGGCAGAAGAGACATTGCAAAAAAACCCGAAAAAAAAACCCCTTCAGTGTTCAGAGCATGCTCCATACGGTGTACACAGTCAGCCCATGCACAACATCCTCTTAAGATGCTGTGCATGGGTTGGGTGCAAGGGAAGATGCAAGTCAGGAGTTACATCATTAGTGGCCAAAAAGGACTTCCAGGAACCTGCTAGTGTTGGCAGTGGAGATCCGACAGCTTTGTGGAAGGGAACACTTGTAAGGTAAGTGTGCCCTAATCAAGTATACTGAGCATACTTGCACATTAGGGAAAAAATAGAACATTTAGAAAGCGGTTTACATCTGCTTTTAAAAAAACCAAACTACCTGAAGGTTTAAAAAAAATTAAATTTTCATTTAATCCTGTATCTTCTAAAAATAGAACCGTACCTTCTGTAATAAAAGATTGAGGGTTTGTGTGTCCATACAGCTTTAACTGTATGTACTTTATTGAGCATGCTTGAACCCCTTAGTGAGCATGTTCCAATTCCCTGTCTAGTTCCCTCCTTATTCACGCCTCTCTCTCCAATGTTTGCAGAAGCGCACCTTCTTCCTCTCAGCACTGTGGGATTCTTTTACACTTACAGGTTTATCCTTTAATGGATCATGCCACACTTATTCTGCTTGGCTCCCCACCTCTCATTGTAATGCTATATTCTTCTACAGTATGTCCTCTTCTCTCTGCTTTTGTTGTCATCCTGTGACCTCACTGGACTACAAAAACTCTGAAGTGACTTTAGGCCTAGAAAGAGAAGATTGCAGACCATTCCCCTCTCACATGAAAGATGGAATGCACACACATGAAGTCTGAGCAAACACTGTACAGCACACATGGTCACATATAGCCCAGAGCATGCTATGAAAACGCATACTTTATAAGTGGTTCTGTTTTGTTTTTTTTTGTAATAGGGTGGCAACTACGTTTGGTGGGATTTCTATTTCTGCTGCTAGATGGCACTGGTGTTTTTCTTGCATGTAATGCTCTGATTTCCCTGTTATGTCTGTGGTGCCTTGGTTGGGGCACAAGCACAGTGTGCTCAGTAATATACAGGAGATTAGGTTAATCCCCTGACTAGCCTACAGCATTATTTCCTCTAGTGTTTGAGCCATAATGGGGAAAAAAAAAAAAAGTTTTGAACCTGGCAAAAATTAGTCCTCTCCAAATACTGTATAGAGGCTGTCAGCAGAGGTCACGCAATGTTTTAACATACAAAGGGTTACAGGAAGATGGTATCATGTCATGTGTAACATTATGGCTGTACTGCTTGATCCATCTTTGATGCATTGGAGCTAAGATGACCATCATAATGGAGCTTATATGTTGCAGTCTAGATGGGTGCTAAGGTATCTGTGAATGAACCAACATCATCCAGGTTTGTAATGTCACTTATGCACCATATCAATCAAATGTGTGAATTTGGTGTAGCCATAATGTTGTGCCCCCCCCTCAAAAAAACAAAATCCCCAGTAACTTGTTTTCTGAAGCCTGACAAACTAATGACACCTATTCCTAACCCCCCCCCCCCCCCACCCCACTACATCTCTTCTTGTCATACACA